TCTGTTTTCAAACTCAAGAGAACAGTAGAACCATCCAGAGAGCTTGTCCAAGAAGCAGATTTCTGACCTCTGCCCCCAAAAGTCTGATTCAGTTAGGTCTGCGGTGGGGCCCATGAGTCGACAGTGTCAACAAGTTCCCCTGATGATTTCTGAAGTCTGAGAACCACTGTTCTCTGAGGTCACTTGGGCCCTTAGAGTCACTGCGGTGTCAAACCACAGTACAGAAGTTTACACTGTGACCCAGGACACACCTTATAAAAAATCTGAAACAAAAGTTTTATGACGCAATATTTACCCCAACCATGGTAATGTTCTCTGCTCAATTTCACTACCAACACGCACTGGTCCAGACCCACTAAATTAGTGGGTTCTGACCCTGGCTACCCATCAGAATCACCTGGGCAGCTTTTACAGTGTGCAGGCCACATCCCGGACCAGTGAGTCAGAAACCCTGGAGGTGGGGGACAGGCATCAGTAGTTGATTTATTGAATTTATTTATTTATGTATTTATTTTTTAGAGACAGGGTCTTGGTCTGTCACCCAGGCTGGAGTCCAGTGGTGTGATCATAGCTCACTGCAGCATCGACCTCTTGGGCTTAAGTAATTCTCCTGCCTCAGCTTCCCAAGTAGCTGAGACAACAGGCACATGCCGCCACACCCGGCTAACTTAAAAAAAAATTTTTTTTTTTTTTTGAAGAGATGGGGGTCTCCCTTTGTTGCCCAGGCTGGTTTTGAACTCCTGGGCTCAAGTGATCCTCCTGCCTTGGCCTCACAACATGCTGGGATTACAGGTGTGAGACACTGCACATGGCCCCTAAACTGATTCTTGTCCCACAAATTGACCATGATCTGCAGGAAAACTTTACCTTTCCTGAAAAATTGGCAAATTCTTTTTTTCTTTCCCTGTTCACGTTTTTCATCTTCCTCTTTGATAAGAAGAGCTGCATATTGATCCATCCCCTTTTGGAGTTGACTATGGGGACCTGGATAATCAGTCCCAGTAATTATGGGGATTTTTTTTTTTTTTTTTTTTTTTTTTTGGAGACACAGTCTCACTCTGTCACCCAGGCTGGAGTGTAGTGGTGCCATCTTGGCTCACTGCAACCTCCACCTCCCAGGTTCAAGCAATTCTCCAGCCTCAGCCTCCTGAGTAGCTGGGATTACAGGCACCCGCCACCACGCCCGGCTAATTTTTTTGTATTTTTAGTAGAGATGAGGTTTCGCCATGTTGGCCAGGCTGGTCTCAAACTCCTGACCTCAGGTGATCCACCCACCTTGGCCTCCGAAAGTGCTGGGATTGCAGGCCTGAGCCACCTAGCCCGGCCTTATGTGGATCTTATGGATCTTTAAAGATCTTCCTGGATCTGGCCGGGCACGGCGGGCGGCTCACGCCTGCAATCCCAGCACTTCGGTCCCGTTAGAGGCTTCACCGTGCCTTCTCGTTGGAAGTCTGGATTTCTGGCCGGGCGCGGCGGCTCATGCCTGCAATCCCAGCACTTTGGGAGGCCAAGGTGGGCGGATCATCCGAGGTCAGGAGTTTGAGACCAGCCTGGCCAACATGGCAAAACCCCGTTTCTAGTAAAAATACAAAAAAAAAAAATAGCCCGATATGGTGCCTCATGCCTATAATCCCAGCACTTTGGGAGGCTGAGGCGGGTCAATCACCTGAGGTCAGGAGTTTGAGACCAGCCTGACCAACATGATAAAACCCTGTCTCTACTAAAAACACAAAAATTAGTTGGGCATGGTGGCACATGCCTGTCATCCCAGCTACTCAGGAGGTTGAGGCAGGAGACTCACTTGAACCCAGGAGGTAGAGGTTGCAGTGAGCCGAGATCGCGCCACTGCACTCCAGCCTGGGCAACAGAGACTCTGTCTCAAAAAAATAATAATTACCCCGGTGTGGTAGCACACGCCTGTAATCCCAGCTACCAGAGAGGCTGAGGAATGAGAATCACTTGAACCCAGGAGGCGGAGGCTGCACTGAGCCAAAATGTGCCACTTCACTCCAGCCTGGGTGACACAGTGAGACTCTGTCTCAAAAAAAAAAAAAAAAAAAAAAAAAAAATTCATGGATCCATACGGCTTTCTCCTCTATCATTCACACGGTTTTCTCTGCGTCTGTGCCTTCTTAGGTAAGGGGCAGAGTGGCCATAAGGGCTGGCCACTATATTCTTGGGGCTGAACCAGGCCAGAGAATGGGCCAGGGGTGGGGCAGCTGAGCACTGAGCACTTCCTGTGGCTTCTCAAGCTCCAGGGGACAGTCTGCAGTGGGGCCCTGCTCCACTCCGCACCGCTGCTGTGGTTTCCTGTTTGCAGCTGCTGTGCTGGGCTGGCCTCCCCAGCCCCTCCACCAGCATATGGATGTATGTGAGGTGGGGGTGCTGATGCTGCCTAGAAAATAGCAGGAGGGGCCTCAGAGAGGTCAACCCAGGAGCGCCCAAGGGCAAGGGAGGAGACATAAAGAAGCTGGAGAGGGTCCTGGGAGGGAGACTGAGGCAGAGAACAAAGGGTCCCGACAGCCTCTCACAGTTGGTTCATATCAAGGCGGGTGCCAGGAGGTCTGTCCGCTCCTGATACCTCCTTTCCTGGTCTGTCACTGTGCTTGCAGTGCCAACATTACTGCCCCATGTGGGCCTTTCTTGGGGGCCTGGAGTGAGAGGAGCTGTGGCTGAGTTTGAATCCTGGCTGTGCACTTACTAGCTGTGTTTCCCCAGGCAAACTATTTCTCTTCTCTAAGCCTCAGTTTTTCCATCTGTAAAATGAAGACAATGGGAGTACAATCCCCACACATTGTTTTAAGTCACTTAAAGGGTTTAACACAAATGTGGGTGCTGCTGCTCCTTCAACGTCCCTCTTTGCCTCTGCCTTAAGGGACTCGGGCAGCAGCTCAGAGGGAGGCAGGGTCATCAAAGAGACTGTCAATCAACTTTGTGTTTTCATTGCAAAAGGCCCTGCACCTGGGGTGGGAGACGTCCCACATGAATGTGTGATGTGGCACGTCCCTACCCCTCTTTGGGCCTGTTTTTCAGTCTGTACGGTGGGGAGAGGAGGATCCATGAGGTGACTTCCAATGGGTTTCTAGCTCTGACTGGCTACTGACCCAAGAGATCCTGTCACTGTTTTAACGTTTTGCCAAGAGATCAGAATCATGTGGTGTTTTGGGGAGGGAGGAATCCCTCCTAGTCAGCGCAAGGAAATTCTGTGACTATACTCTATTAAAAATCCTAGTTGCCAATGTATTGGCTGAGCCTAGATCCCTACTGTGGGCCATTCACATTCACTTTTATTTTTTTAAGATGGAGTCTGGCTCTGTTGCCCAGGCTGGAGTGCAGTGATGCAGTCATGGCTCACTGCATCCTGGAACTCCTGGGCTCAAGCAATCCTCCTGCCTCAGCCTCCCAAGTAGCTCAGACTACAGGCAGGCACCACCATGCCTCACTACATTTTAAATTTTTTTGTAGAGAAGTTGTCTCATTATGTTGGCTAGGCTGGTCTCAAATTCCTGAGCACAAGTGATTCTCCCACCTCAGCCTCCCAAAGTGCTGGGATTACAGGTGTGAGCCACAGTGCCCCGCCTGTATTCGTTTTTAGAAATGCAGATTTTTGCTCTATTGCTGATAGGCTCTCATGGCAGCAACATGGCAGACAACAGCCAGACTGCTCGACACCAAGGCTAGGAACTCCAGCCCTTCACATCTGGCCTTCTGCCTGCCCCACCCTCAAGTCATATCATACTTGGCTCTCAGCATTGGAGGGGCAAGCCCTGGCATCACTGTGAATCTCAAATAGAGATTCTGTGCCATGGAACACTGGTTTCCAGTGACCTAGGAGCTCTCTGAGAGCAGGGACCATGTCCACCTCCCTTAGCAGAGATGCCTAAGGCCTGACACATACAGTAGGTCCTGTCCTTCCCTGAAGGCTCCCCACATCATGGGTGCTGGAGAAGCATTTGCTGAATGAACGAACATAGAGTGAATATTACAGGTGCTGCATGATGAAACGCTCCTGCCTTCAGAAACACTTGGGAAATGCCCAGTTAGGCAAGCGCGATGCCTTAAGAAGTCTTGTGTTAACACAGATTATGAACCTCTCAGAGAAGGATGATTTTCAGTGTCCCCTAAACTGACCCCCCATCTCCTCTATTTCTAAGCAGGTGGCCCACAGAACACACTCAGAGAGTCCCTGTAATGAATCCTCTCGTCTCCCCCAAAGCCCACGCCCAGCACCGTGTCTCTGCTGAGGAGCAGTTCCACTGCCTTGGGAGAAAACCTGAGCTTCTCAGCCCAGCATCCAAGGCCTCTATGCTGGAGCCTTGCTCACTTCTAACCTCCTATTGTCCTGAGGTACAGCCCCCTGGCCCACCCCAGCACCAATGTGTCTTGTTGCCTGGGATCCTGTGGGAACATCCTTCAAGTTTCCACTCATGGCCCACTCCTCCATGAAGCCTTCCTTGATTGCTCGAAAGTTAGCTGCCTCTCCTCTGCTTTCATGGCCTGTCTCCATCTCCCCAAGCCTGGGCCCCCCATGGCTCATATGGGCAGGACATGGAGCTGGGGCTCAGGAAATCTTGGTTGACTGAGGAGTCAGGCAAAGCCTATTTTCTGGGCCGCACCTGCAGTCATATATCTGTGGGCTCTTTTCTTTTTTTTTTTTTGAGACGGAGTCTTGCTCTGTTGCCCAGGCTGGAGTGCAATGGCTGGATCTCCACTCACTGCAAGCTCCGCCTCCCGGGTTTCCACCATTCTCCTGCCTCAGCCTCCCAAGTAGCTGGGACTACAGGCGCCCACCACCTCGCCCAGCTAGTTTTTTGTATTTTTTAGTAGAGACGGGGTTTCACCGTGTTAGCCAGGATGGTCTCAATCTCCTGACCTCGTGATACGCCCACCTCGGCCTCCCAAAGTGCTGGGATTACAGGCTTGAGCCACCGCGCCTGGCCAGGGCTCCTTTCTGAGACCTCCACGCAGGGAGGGCCTGGGCTGGCGCTGAGCTTACCCACCTCTCCTGGTCTGGCTCTCCCGGATGAGGAAGGCCCCTCCAGGGTTCCCAGGTAACAATAGCAGTTCCTCAGCTTTCTCCCTGCTTAGGCCCTCATACAGCCACCTGGAGGAGTGAGAGAGAGGGACAAGGGACAGGGTCAGCCTGGAGGAAGAGGGAAGCCAAGATTTTACCACCGCCTCTGAGTGACCCTCACAAGGCCCTCCCTCTCTGGGCCTCAAAGTTCTACCTGTTCCACAAAGAGCTGGGCTCAGGGTCTCGGAGGCCCACGCCATCTTTGTCCTCCTAGTCCTGGCTCCAGGGCCCTGGCAGGATAAACTCATGGGGACAGCCTCAGCTTTCTCTGCCTGGAGACCTCATTCCCAAGTAACCTGGGTTGGTCCCAGCCTCTCTGCTATCCCTGCTCAGTGCCCCCAGCACCCTGATTCTATCTACTCACCTTTCTAAGCCCCACCTTCCCAAGAGCTGCCCCTCTGATTTTTTTCTTTTTTAATTGAGACAGGCTCCTGCTGTGTGGCCTAGACTGGAGTGCAGTGGCACAATCACGGCTCACTGCAGCCTTGACCTTCCAGGCTCGGGCGATCATCCCACCTTAACCTCCCTAGTAGCTGGGACCACAGGTGCGCACCACTGTGCCAGGTGCTCACAGGGCATGCTCCCATCTCCTATTTGGACTTTTCAGTGTTTTCCACCATGAGATCCTGGCAACCTCCAAAGCCCAGAACTCCACACCTCCTCTATGGGCCTTCCCAAGCCCCTCCCCTGGCTCCCACGTCTCACAGGCCAACCTGTGCTAGGATGAGCTGTCTGCCCCTCTTGAGGGCAGGGCCTCGGTTCAATTCTCCTCCATCCTCAGCTTTGCTCAGCGCAGAGCCGCGCATAAAGGGGAGCTCTTGTGGGAAGAGAAAGCAGGAAGCTCCGCAAGGCGGGCCTGGGGTGGGAACTCACCCATGGGAGACTTTGGCCACGTGGACGCTGGGGATGTTGTATTCTCTGCCTGAGACTTCAGACAGCACCGTCCACCAGTCTCCATCCCTGGAGAGAGAAAAGAGTCGGGGTACCTTTTTCAGATGAGCCAAGGCCCCAGGAACTGCACATTCAGGGTTGGCAAGGAGCCTCTCAGGCTGGGTCCTGCAGCCACCTGTCCCACCTGTTTCCCAGGCTTCCCTGCATTAGCCTGTCCAGGTAGCTCCTGAGTCAGGGCTGGGGCCAGTGGTAGATGGCACGACTCCAGGCTCCCTGCTACAGGGCACTGGCCACCCACTGCCTCTCCCTGTGGGGGTGTCCAGCCGCCTGAAATTCCACCACAGGGTTCCTGTGAGCACTTCAGCAAAGGCTCGTGCTTTTCTACCTGGGGAAGGGCCCCTTCTCCCGGGACAGTATCTCTATTCCTTCCTTCCTTCATCTATTTTTATTTTTTTGAGACAGAGTTTTGCTCTTGTCGCCCAGGCTGGAGTGCAGTGGTGTGATCTCAGCTCACTGCAACCTCCGCCTCCCAGGTTCAAGTGATTCGATTCTCCTGCCTTGGCCTCCCGAGTAGCTGGGATTACAGGCACCTGCCACCAAACCTGGCTAATTTGTGTATTTTTAGTAGAGACAGGGTTTCACCATGTTGGCCAGGCTGGTCTCAAACTCCTGACCTCAGGTGATCTGCCTACCTCGGCCTCCCAAAGTGCTGGGATTACAGGTGTGAGCTAGCACACGTGGCCCATTCCTTTATTTTTAAAGACAGAGTCTTGCTGTCACCCAAGCTGAAGTGCACTGGCTTGATCATAGCCCACTGCGGTCCTGAACTCCCGAGTTCAAGCGATTCTCCCACCTAAGCCTTCCAGACAGCTGGGACTACAGGCACGCACCGCCATGCCTGGCTCTATTAGTGACACCTGGGACTACAGGCACGCACCACCATGCCTGGCTCTATTAGTGACACCTGGGACTACAGGCACGCACCACCATGCCTGGCTCTATTAGTGACACCTGGGACTACAGGCACGCACCACCATGCCTGGCTCCATTAGTGACACCTGGGACTACAGGCAGGCACCACCATGCCTGGCTCTATTAGTGACAGCTGGGACTACAGGCAGGCACCACCATGCCTGGCTCTATTAGTGACAGCTGGGACTACAGGCAGGCACCACCATGCCTGGCTCTATTAGTGACAGCTGGGACTACAGGCAGGCACCACCATGCCTGGCTCTATTAGTGACAGCTGGGACTACAGGCAGGCACCACCATGCCTGGCTCTATTAGTGACAGCTGGGACTACAGGCAGGCACCACCATGCCTGGCTCTATTAGTGACAGCTGGGACTACAGGCACGCACCACCATGCCTGGCTCTATTAGTGACACCTGGGACTACAGGCAGGCACCACCATGCCTGGCTCTATTAGTGACACCTGGGACTACAGGCAGGCACCACCATGCCTGGCTCTATTAGTGACAGCTGGGACTACAGGCAGGCACCACCATGCCTGGCTCTATTAGTGACAGCTGGGACTACAGGCAGGCACCACCATGCCTGGCTCTATTAGTGACAGCTGGGACTACAGGCAGGCACCACCATGCCTGGCTCTATTAGTAACAGCTGGGACTACAGGCACGCACCACCATGCCTGGCTCTATTAGTAACAGCTGGGACTACAGGCACGCACCACCATGCCTGGCTCTATTAGTGCATATTCAGGTACCCAGTGCCCATGGACTTACTCAGAGACGATGGTCAGTGGCTCCCCCAGTCTCAGCGACAGCTCGGCTGGGCCACCTGCTGGGAAACTGCCCAGGGCCACGGCTGTGGCCTTGCTTCTTTCTAGATGGAGGGACAGAAATGGTCACCCACTTAGCTAGCCTTGCTCCATGCGTGACGTCTAGTGGAGTCTGGCCTGGGTCTGGCTCCCAGCATCAGCCCTCCACAAGCACCCTGACGGAGTCCCATCCACTTCCTAAGAGGGCCACCCTGGAATCAAGCTTTGCCAGCAGAGCTTTGCAGGGCCCTGACAGTGCCCAGACAGAAAGAAAGAAAGAAAAAATTTGCAATTGGGTCGTGCTCCATCAGCACCGCACGTAGCCTGAGCAACAGGGCAAGATCTTATCTCTAAAAATTAGGCTCAATGCAGCCTTGACCTCCTGGGCGCAAATCCTCCAGCCTCAGCCTCCTGAGTGGCTGGGACTACAGGTGTGCACCACTACACCCAGCTAATTTAAAACCATTGTTTAGTAGAGATGAGGTCTCGCTATGTTGCCCAGGACATGATGGCCATGAGGCTCAGGATGTGGTGACCATAAGGCCCAATTTCAAGGCTGGGCCTCAGGCGGCAAGGGCACCCTCAGCACAGGACGCATGCCCTCACCCACCCCAGAGGGCAGCCTGCTCAGGCCAGCCAGACTCCCTGTGACTGCCGAGCCTTGTAGCCTGAAAATCCAGCTTTCAGCAGCTGCTGAAGGCCACCTCACTGCACCCTAGTGTCCCTCCCTTCTTCCCCCTGTCCTTTCTCTGTAAGGATTCCTGAGACACTTGTAGCACATAAACGCATTAAGTATGAGAAGCAGCCAGGGTCAGCAAGAAGGGTCCATCTGCATCTTAGACACCCTGTAGGAAGCAAGGTCTTAGAGGACTCTGGTCCTCTAAGATGGAGCTGGGACCCCAGGAAGTGGGGCAGGGGACGCAAACGAGCAGACAAGGATGTGGGGGTTGGGTGGGGGCGCCGTGTGGGCTGAAGGGCCTGTGCTCCAAGTGGGCTTGGGAAGAGTGAGGCTGATTCTGGAAATGGACTAGTTCCTCCACATCCTCCCAGACACATGTGGAGACCCCTGCAGTGAACCCAGCCTGGAGAGCTCCCCAGGGGTCTCTCCTCTGAGGTCTTTGCAGCATAAGGCCTGGCCATTCCACAGTGCAGGGAAATGTCTGATGCTTGGACAAATGATGCACATCTTGTGACAGGTGCTCTCTGATGAGAATGGGAAAATGTGGCCTGGGAGGGCCCCTTTCCCTCCTGGAAGCCCTGGCCTTGCACCCCTGGGGGCAGCCACCCAGCTGCATACACTACACTGTCCCCCTGAATGGCCTCACTCTGCCTGGCTGACTTACCTTCATCCATTTCCCAACCGAAACGTCCCTTCTTCCAGGAAGCCTTCCCTGACCAGCCACTTCTGCACACACTCTTGGTCAGAATCCCTTAAAACATACTGCCACCAAAATCTAAGTTCTAGTTGGTGATTGGTTTAGCACCTGTCCCTGGGGCTCAACTGTCCCTGAAGGCATGGACTGTGCCTGTCTTGTCTACTTCTGTGTCCCCAGGTCCTGTCACAAGGCCTGGCATGTGGTAGATTTAAAGTGGTTGCAAGAGGCCGGGCGCAGGGGCTCACGCCTGCAATCTCAGCACTTTGGGAGGCCGAGGCACGTGGATCACCTGAGGTTGGGAGTTTGAGCCCAGCATGACCAACATGGTAAAACCTCATCTCTACTAAAAATACAAAATTAGCCCGGTGTGGTGGCGCATGCCTGTAATCCCAGCTACTTGAGAGGCTGAGGCAGGAGAATCACTTGAACCTGGGAGACAGAGGTTGCAGTGAGCCAAGATCACACCATTGCACTCCAGCCTGGGCAACAAGAGCTAAACTCCATCTCAAAACGAAAAAAAAAAAAAAGGTTGCAAGACTGACTGGCCGTGGTGACTCACGCCTGTAATTCCAGCACTTTGGGAGGCCGAGGCGGGCAGATAGCCCGAGGTCGGAAGTTCCAGACCAGCCTGGCCCACATGGAGAAACCCCGTCTCTAATAAAAATACAAAAATTAGCTGGGCGTGGTGGCGGGCACCTGTAATCCCAGCTACTCAGGAGGCTGAGACAGGAGAGGCGGAGGTTGCGGTGAGCCAACATTGCGCCACTGCACTCCAGCATGGGCGACAGAGCAAGGTTCCGTCTCCAAAAAAAAAAAAGAAAAAAATGTGCTTCAATCTGTTTTACTGCAGTGACAGATTAATAGCTTGGTTGGCAGAATTTACTCACAATTCTAAATAATTTTTCTTTGAGGTAAGTAAATCTGCTCGGAATTGTCTTGGCTCATCAGTGTTTGCTTGTCAGCATTTTCTGTAACTGAAATAGGAGTGAGGTGACCCTTGTTCTATTAGTCAAGATCTACCTCTAAGGCATGTTTTTTTTTTGTTTTTTTTTTGAGACGGAGTCTCGCTTTGCAATCTTGGTTCACTGCAACCTCCGCCTTCCAGGTTCAAGCGATTCTCCTACCTCAGCCTCCTGAGTAGCTGGGATTACAGGCACCCACCACCACACTTGGCTACTTTTTGTATTTTTAGTAGAGATGAGGGTTCACCATGTTAGTCAGGCTGGTCTCGAACTCCTGACCTCGTGATCTGCCCGCCTCAGCCTCCCAGAGTGCTGGGATTACAGAATTGAACCACTGTGCCCAGCCTACCTCTAAGGTTTTAATCGTTTTGAACCCAGTACTCTTGTTTGAAATGTCCAGCTGTAAACTTTGCTACATATTTGTAGGCACAGTGATGTTATTTCTTCAATGTAGGCTCATAGTCTGTGAAGTTTGCTTTTTTTCTTTTGAGATAGTCCCACTCTGTCACCGAGGCTGGAGTGCAGTGGCATGATCTAGGCTCACTGCAATCTTGACTTCCCAGGTTCAAGCGATTCTCCTCCCTCAGCCTCCTGAGTAGCTGGGATTACAGGCACATACCACCATGCCTGGCTAATTTTTTTTGTACTTTTAGTAGAGACAGGTTTCTCCATGTTGTCCAGGCTGGTCTCAAACTCTTGACCTCAGGTCTGCCTGCCTCAGCCTCTTTTTTTTTTTTTTTTGAGACAGAGTCTCACACTGTCACCCGGGCTGGACTGCAATGGCATGATCTTGGCTCACTGCAACCTCCACCTCCTGGGTTCCAGCAATTCTCCTGCCTCAGCCTCCCAAGTAGCTGGGATTACAGGTACCCACCACCACGCATAGCTAACTTTTTGTATTTTTAGTAGAGATGGAGTTTCACTATGTTGGCCAGGTTGGTCTCGAATTCCTGACCTCATGATCTGCCCTCCTTGGCCTCTTAAAGTGCTGGGATTACAGGCATGAGCCACCACACCTGGCCTGAAGTTTGCTTTTTTTAGTCAGCTCCATAAAACAGTGTGCTAAGATTTTCACATCTTTAATTATCACATGGTTGAGGAGAGTTCTACATTACAAATGAAAAACTTGAGATGGGGAATTTAGGCGATGTATTGTTTTGTTTTGTTTTGTTTTTGAGACAGAGTCTTGCTCTGTCCCCCAGGCTGGAGTGCAGTGGTGCGATCTCAGCTCACTGCAACCTCCGCCTCCCAGGTTTAAGAAATTCTCCTGTCTCAGCCTCCAGAGTAGCTGGGACTACAGGTACATGCCACCATGCTTGGCTAACTTTTGTATTTTTAGTAGAGACAGGGTTTTACCATATTGGTTGAGCTGGTCTCAAATTCCCGAGCTCAGGTCATCCACCTGCCTCAGCCTCCCAAAGTGCTGGGATTTACAGGCATGAGCCACCACCCCTAGCCAATTTAGGTGATTTAACTAAAGTCCCAGTAGCAAAACTTGCACAAAAGCCATATAAGGCACATGTCCCTAGGCTCTGTCCAGGGGAGCGAGGAAATACTCCGTGAAGTAGTGTGATCTTGTTATCTGTGCTAGTTGATTTTATGTGTCATTGTGGCTAGGCCACACAACCCAGATATGTGGTCAAATACCAGTCTAGATGTTGCTGTGAATGAGATTGAATTTATTTATTTTTTTGAGACGAAGTTTCGCTCTTGTTGCCCAGGCTGGAGTGCAGGTGCAGTGGTGCGATCTTGGCTCACTGCAACCTCTGCCTCCCAGGTTCAAGTGATTCTCCTGCCTCAGCCTCCCAAGTAGCTGGGATTACAGGTGTGCGCCACCATGCTTGGCTAATTTTGTATTTTTAGTAGAGATGGGGTTTCACCATGTTGGTCAGGCTAGTCTCAAACTCCCAACCTCAGGTGATCCACCCACCTCGGCCTCTCAAAGTGCTGGGATTACAGGCGTGAGCCACTGCGCTCAGCCGAGATTGAATTTAAGTCAGTAGACTGAGTAATGCAGATGACCCTCCATAATGTGAGTGGGCCTCATGCAATCAGCTGAAGGTCATAAAAGAACAAGACTGACGTCCTTTGAGGAAGAGGGAATTCTGCCTCCAGACTGTGGTCGCACTCAGGACCACAGCATCAGCTCTTCCCTGGGTCTCCAGTCTGCCTTGCTGATTTCAGACTTATAGCCTCCACAATCGTGTGAGCCAGCTCCTCCAAACAAAATCTCTATATACACACACACACACACACACACACATCCCCCCACACATCACGTATTGGTTCTATTTCTCTGGAGAACCCTAATACATTATTGAAATCCCAATCAAGGTGTGACTTGAGAAAGGATTTGTGGCCTGTTTGGGGGAACAAGAAATAGACCTGGGGCCATAGTTCCAACATCAAAATACCAGAATTGCTAGGATATTTTTATTGTTCAACTGTCCTAGAAACTGAGAGTTTTAGTCAAGACTATATTAGAAAATCATGGTGATAGACTCAGGATATGCATTGTCTATGCTATTTTTCTACCATTAAGACAGTCCTGGCAAGGGCCAGGCGTGGTGGCTCATGCCTGAAATCTCAGCACTTTGGGAGGCCAAGGCAGGAGCATCACTTGACCCCAAGAGTTCAAGACCAGCCTGGGCAACATAGGGAGACTCCATCTCTACAAAAACATTTAAAATGGAGCCAGGCATGGTGGCATGTGCCCGTAGTCCCAGCTACTTGGGAGGCTGAGGTAGGAGGATCGCTTGAGCCTGAGAGGTTCGAGATGCAGAAAGCCATGATCACACCACTGCACTCCAGCCTGGGTGACAGAGCAAGATCATGCATTAAAAAAAAAAAAAAAAAAAAGGCACAAAAATAAAAAAGACAGCCCTAATGTCACTTCAGGTAATTTCACAGTACCTGTCAGGTCCACTAGAACAGTATAGCAGAACTTTCTACAATAATAGAAATGTTCTGTAATTCTGTGCTGTCTAACAAGGTGGTCGCTCGCTACATGTGCTATCAAGCACTTACTTAAAATAAATGTGGCTGGGGTGATTTAAGACTTTTTTTTTTTTTTTTTTTTTTTTTTTTTGTGAGACAGATTCTCACTCTGTTGCCCAGGCTGGAGTGGCATGATCTCGACTCACTGCAACCTCTGCCTCCCGGGTTCAAGTGATTCTCTTGCCTAAGCCTCCTAAGTAGCTGGGATTACAGGTGCCTGCCACCATGACCGGCTAATTTTTGTATTTTTAGTAGAGACAGGGTTTTACCATGTTGGCCACGCTGGTCTTGAACTCCTGACCTCAGGTGATCTGCCTGCCTTGGCCTCCCAAAGTGCGGGATTACAGGCATGAACCACTGTGACCGACCCCGGCCTAAAATTTTAAATTTAAGCAGTTGCGTGTGGCTGGTGGCTACTGCAATGGACAGTGCAGCTCTAGGGGGCTGCAGAGGTGGGGCTGGCCAGCTCGGTGTTTGGATAAACAACTTGTTGAGAAGGAGGGAAGCCTTGGGAAATGCCTGGGGGTCTATCATGCCTCCTGGTTTAATATTCTGGTCAGTGCCTATTGCTTTCTCCTATTTTCTCATTTACCCCATTGTTTACTATTACTGCTAAGTTGGGCTCTATAGGAGCAGTAGGACCCTGCTGTATGGCTCAGTAGGCAGGGCCTGGTATGCAGCAGGACCTCAGTGGTGCTTATGCTGTGTTGGAGCTGCTGGCTAGGAAGGCCCACAGAGGCAGTGAAGTCTAGTACTGTGTGGGAAGGGCCTGGCTGTCACAGGCCCCGAGGCTTGCCTGCTTCCGTGGTCACAGGTCCCTGGCCTTGGACAGAGGGACTCAAGCTTGGGCTTGGCAGGGATTTTCTTCTGCTGGGCAGACTTCCCATTGTTCCTCAGCAGAGCACTCAGAAGCACATCATCGACGGAAATCTGAAAGAGACACAGTGATGGGGACAGAGCCGAGGCTTCTGGCCCAATCTCAGATAACTCTCCCTCCCCAGATCGACCCTGGCTATCTCCTCACAGAGCATGTGAATGACCTCCCTCCTGTGGGGCCAGGCTCCAGCCCCTGAAGGCTTCCTGCACATTGGACGCTGTTTTCTCCACATCTCATCTTTTTTATGCCGCAACAGGCTCAACTTTTTCTTTCTGGGCCTCTGCTTAGGTCCCTCCCATGGGCAGTTATGCCCTCTCCTCTCCGTCAGTCCTGTTTGGATCCTATTCTTCCTTCCCCAGGAAGCCTTCCCAGCCCCTAGCCTTTGTTGATCACTCCTTTGACTTCCTACGGCTCACTTAGAACCCTTTCTCTGACCAGGGATCACACTCTGCTATGGGTGGGAGGGGACAATGACAGGACAGTGAGCTCCCTCCAGGCATACCAGGGCCTGTGGCTTGGGTCAGAGGTCTGCAAGGAGGGCTGGGTGTGGTGGTTCATGCCTGTAATCCCAGCACTTTGGGAGGCTGAGGCAGGTGCATGACCTGAGGTCAGGAGTTCAAGACCAGCCTGACCAGTATGGTGAAACCTCATCTCTACCAAAAATACAAAGATTAGGTGGGTGTGGTGGCATGTGCCTATAGTCCCAGCTACTCAGGAGGGAGGCTGAGATAGAATTGCTTGAACCTGGGAGACAGAGGTTGCAATGAGCCCAGATCAAGTCACTGCACTCCAGCCTAGGTGACAGAGCGAGACTCCCTCTCAAAAAAAAAAAAAAAAAAAAAGAGGTCTGCAAGGGGGATCTAAGCAGGCGTGAGAGATGGTGTCACAGCAAGCCACGGTGACACAGATACACTTATTGGTGTCACAGTAAGAGTACCTGTCTCAGCCTCCTGAGTTGCTGGGATTACAGGCGTGAGCCACCAGGCCCTGTACTTTAAGAGGCCGAGTACTTAATCCCAGCACTTTAAGAGGCTGAGGAGGGTAGATTGCTTGAGCTTATGAGTTCCAGACCAGCCTGGCCAGCATGGCGAAATCTAGTCTCTATAAAAGAAACCACAAAAGTTAGCCGGCTGTGGTGGTGCACACCTGTAATTCCAGCTATTCGGGAGGCTGAGGTGGGAGGGCAGGAGGATTGCTTGAGCTTGGGAGGTGGAGTTCACAGTGAGCCAAGATCATACTATTACATTCCAGCCTGGGCAACAGAGTGAGATGCTGTCTCAAAAAAAAAAAAAAAAAGTACCAGGGGTTGTATGATGCAGTGATGACTTGCAAGGCTTCGGGGGACTGACTGTTGAGCCACTTCCCCTCTCTGTGCCTCCTTTCCTCATCTGAAAAATGGGGATAACAACACTCAACATACAGGTCCGAGAGATAACGCACATGAAAACCCTGGCCAGCCCCCCGTTTCCTTTACCACGTCCTGAATGTCACTTCATCAGAGACCTCTCCTGGGAGCCTCCCCAGGAGGTCTCGCTCCGTCACCCAGGCTAGAGTGTAGTGGTGCAGTCCTAGCTCATTGCACCCTTGAACTCCTGGGTTCAGGGGATCCTCCCACCTCAGCCTCCCAAGTAGCTGGGATCACAGGCATTAGCCACCACACCCAGCCTCTTTGCAAGTTTTTTTTTTTTTTTTTTTTTTTGAGACAGAGTTTTACTCTTGTTGCCCAAGCTGGAGTGCAATAGCGCGATCTCGGCTCACCACAACCCCCGCCTCCTGGCTTCAAGTGATTCTCCTTCCTCAGCCTCCCGAGTAGCTGGGATTACAGGCATGCGCCACCACGTCCGGCCAATTTTGTATTTTTAGTAGAGACAGGGTTTCTCCATATTGGTCAGGGTGGTCTCGAACTCCCGACCTCAGGTGATCCGCCCACCTCGGCCTCCCAAAGTGCTGGGATTATAGGCATGAGCCACTGCGCCCGGCCCTTTTTCTTTTTTTTAAGTTATGGGCTCTCGCCTTTTTGCCCAGGCTGTTCTTTTTTTTTTTTTTTTTTTTTTTTTGAGACGGAGTCTTGCTCTGTAGCCCAGGCTGGAGTGCAGTGGCGCGATCTCAACTCACTGCAGGCTCCGCCTCCCGGGTTCACGCCATTCTCCTGCCTCAGCCTCCCGAGTAGCTGGGACTACAGGTGCCCGCCACCTCGCCCGGCTAATTTTTTGTATCTTTTTTAGTAGAGACGGGGTTTCACCGTGTTAGCCAGGATGGTCTCCATCTCCTGACCTCGTGATCCGCCCGTCTCGGCCTCCCAAAGTGCTGGGATTACAGGCTTGAGCCACCGCGCCCGGCCGCCCAGGCTGTTCTTGAACTCCTGGGCTCCATCAATCCTCCCACCTCAGCTTCCCAAAGTCCTGGGATTACAGGTGTGAGCCATGGGACCCAGCCTCTTGGGAAGTTTTCGTCATTCATTTTAGAGTTCACTTCTTTAATCTGCCACTATCCTGTAACTGCATCAGGACAAGAACTTCTTTTGTTTGCCTATTACTCAGCATTTAGGGAAGCACTCAGCACACATGAACTAAATGAGACCGTTAGCTCTTCGGACAGGTGTCTTATCCTTAGAATAGTTTAAATCCCCAGATTTCCAGGGTAGTGCTGACTTTTCCAAACACTATATTAAAGTGTTTGGGGAGTGGGAGGCAGAGCTTTGTATTTCTTTTCAGATGGTTTCATTCTTTTCAGTAGGGACAAGGCACAATTACACATTTGGCCCAGTTCAGCTGGTATTCATGGAGTTCCTGCTCTGTGTCAGGCACCTGCCAAGGGCTGGCAGTCCCTGGAGGGGAACCCATGCTCCTTACTCTGGAGGAGCTCACTGAATGGGGTGGTGACAGAGTGGGCTCCTTCCTGGATGAGGACGGGTGTCCATCAACATCATGGAGTGATTTCTGTGGCCTCCTGGGCCAGTCCTGTCTGGGGAGTAAAGATCCTACCTTAGCGGATGGAACAGCCTCTCTGTTCTTCAGCCTCATGTCATTGACATGGGAATAACAATACCTGGGCCGGGTGCGGTGGCTCACTCCTGTAATCCCCAGCACTTTGGGAGGCTGAGGCGAGCAGATCACATGAGGTCAGGAGTTTGAGACCAGCCTGGCCAACATGGTGAAACCCTGTCTTTACTAAAAATACAAAAATGAGCCGGGTGTGGTGGTGGGTGCCTGTAATCCCAGCTACTTGAGAGGCTGAGGCAAAAGAATTGCTTGAACCTGGGAGGCAGGGGCTGCAGTGAGCCGAGACTGTGCCACTGCACTGCAGCCTGCGTGACAGAGCGAGACTCTGTACCCGCCCTGCTGCAAAACAAACAAACACCCAATACCTGCTTGCTGCTGCCTCCCTATGGGGAGTTCAGCATTCATCTGGAAGGGAGCTCTTGAACACAGAATGGGCATGTGGCATGGAAATGAGTCCTGACAGCCACTTCCTGCTCAGAGTTTTAGGATCCTGCAGCCTGGGTACACTGAAATGGTGCTGCTGTTCTTGAGGAGGTTTTTTGGTTTTGTTTTACATTATTGGGGTCTTGCTGTGTTGCCCAGGCTGGTCTTGAACTCCTGGGCTCAAACGATCCTCCTGACGAGGAATTTTACAAACCCAAGACCAGGAAACCCCAGGGAGAGAACCTCTGGCTTGGGTAGCGTGAGTGCCCCCTTGAACCTGGTTGGAGCTGTGTGGCCTCAGGCAAAGCATGCAAGCTTCCTGCATCTCATCTGTGAATGAGGTGCACCACAGGCGCCACAGGGCTGTGGGGAGAGTCGCAGGAGTCCGGCACAGAGTGGGTGCTCAGTAAGGCTTAGTTTCCTTTCCCCTCCTTCAGGAAGACCACAGTCACCACCTGCAATAGACCGAGAGACTCCTTCCTGCCGCAGGTGGAGCTGGGGGCTGGGCCCAAAGGCAGACGGAGACAGGGGAGCTGTACTCAGGCTGGAAGCCTCCCCAAAGTCTCTGCAGCTCCCCTCACCTGGTCAAGGACTTGGTCAGGTCAAGGCCAATAAGCCCCTGGGAGCAAAATAAAGACCATGCGATAGGCCAGCCTAGGAGGAGGCAGTATTAGCCACAACTTTTATAAGACAGCATCTAATCATTAACTACACAAATTTTTGAAAATCTTACTATGTGCCAGGCACTTTCCGGAGGACAGGAGGCATCGGGTGAAAGGAAAAAGTTAGTCAACGGCAGCGGAGATCAGCTCACTGCCCAGAATATTGGTTGTTTTTTTTTTTTTCAATGTCTCACTTGGGCCCCATTTCAGATACAGTGACCAACTCCCTGAGAGGACAACCTTGTGCTTCTGGTCACATAGCCCATTCGTGAAGGGCTGGGCCTGCTGTCATGTGTATTTTGCGCTTCTGAAGATCATTTTTCAGCGGTGGGTGTAAGAGTGATGGATTTGACCAGGCACGGTGGCTCATGCCTATAATCCCAGCAATTCAGGAGGCTGAGACAGGAGGATTGCTTGAGGCCAGGAGTTTGAGACCAGCCTGGGCAACACAGTGAGACCTCCCCCCGGCCCCGCCATCTCTACAAAAATATAACAAATTAGCTGGGTATGGTGGTACATGCCTGTAGTCTCAGCTACTTGGGAGGCTAAGGTGGGAGGATCCCCTGAACCCAGGAGTTCAAGGGTGCAATGAGCTAGGACTGCACCACTACACTTGAGCCCAGGGGTTCAAGTCTATAGTCATGATTACGCCGCCGCACTCCAGCCTGGGTGACAGAACGAGACCCCAACTCAACAAAAAATAATAATGAATTTGGATCGAGTTAAAGGGAGATCTCTCCCTTTCTTTCAACTGAGAAATATCACCCTTTTGAGAGTGAGATGTCACTGTAGGCTCTCCAGCTGAACTGTCTTGAGAGATGATAGCCCTCACATTCCTGCCTTTGGAGTCTCACTGCAGCGCAGAGAGGGGCCCAAAGTCACACAGCAAATGCGCAACTGAGATGGGACTAGGACGGGCGTGAAGACAAGCTGCAGGGAAGAGCGTAGGCTCCAAGAGGCAGTCAAAGGTGGAGCAGGTGGGTCTTGGTTCTTCTGGGACCCCCAGAAACCACCCCTCTTTACAGCCACTCTCCCTTCTCCTTGAGCTGTTTTTTTCCCAATAGCAAATAAAGCCCAGACCCAGTCTGAGCCGGGGAGATCATTCTTCCTCACCTGGCTCTAGGCCATCCGAGAACAAAAGCAAGCATACTTACTGGTTTGTCATCAAAGGCTTGGGAAGACGGCTCTGCTGAGACGCATGCTCTGGCTGGACAGGTTAGGGCTTTGGGGGCCTTCTGGAAGTCTGCCAGTGTCCTTGGTCCTAGGACACCCAGAACTCTCAGCCTGGGAGGATCTTCAGGGAGAGGCTAGGTGTCGGTTTGGGTAGCTCAGCATCCGTCTGCAGTCAGCAGTTTGTACAGCAGGGATAGATCAGCTGCCCCATGCTCCTGAGGGATTCTGGATTGGGGAACCCTCCCAAGCACAGCGGAGCCAGGGAAGGAAAGCCCAGGGCCCTCTGAGCTCTGTCACAGAGACACAGGCGTGGGGTCCTTGGAGCTCTAGCTCCGACTGCAGACTCTGTGGTTCTCACAACCACCCGTTTCCTCTGACGGCATCACAGACCATGGAGGAGCCACCTTCCCCGAGTTCCTGTTTCTAGGGGAGCAGCTGCTGCCTTGTCATGATCCTGGAGCAAAAGGTTTTTCTCTGGCTTTGTGGCATGGTCTTGTCCAAGGAACACAGGACTGAGGAAAATGAGCAGGAGTTCCCATGCTGGCCTAACCATAACACTCACTCAACCGGGCTTAATTGTAGTAATTTCTGGGATCTCCCAAACCTTCTAAATCCAAGTCACCAGACAGGGAGCCCAGGAATCTAAATTTTAAACCAAGCGATTCCCTTGACTGCCGAGTTTGGGAAGCAGTGCCTTCTCAACCTTTAGTGTGCATAGGAATCACCTGCAGATCTTGTTAAACTGCAGGCTCTGATTCAGAAGGTCTGGGGCGGAGTTCAATATTTTGCATTTCTAATAAGCTCCCAGGTGACCCCATGTTGCCAGTCTGGGGACCACACTTTGAATAGCAGTATCTGGACAGTGGTCTCCAAGTGTGGTCCCTAGACCAGCAGCCTCAGCGGGAATTTGTTAGACATGCAAATTCTCAGGCTGCATCCCAGATCCACGGAATCATACTCTGGGGGTAGGCCTGGCAAGCTGTTTTCATGCTTCCAGGTGATTCCAATGCATGCCCAGGCTTGATTTCTTCTTTAACAGGGTCTTGCTTTGTCACCCAGGATGGAATGCAGTGCCACAATCATAGCTCAGTGCAGCCTTGACCCAGGCTCAAGTAATCTTCCCTTCTCAGCCTTGAGTAGCTAGGACTACAGGTGTGCACCAGCACTCATGGCTAATTTTAAATTTTTTTTGTAGAGATGAGGTTTCACTGTGCTGCCCAGGCTGGTCTCAAACTCCCGGCCTCAATTGATCCTCCCGCCTCCGCCTCCCTAAGTGTTGGGATTACAAGCATGAGCCACGGTCCATGCCTAAGCTTGAGAGTCACTGGTCTAGGATAAAGAATCTGACTCCGGCTGAATTGTCTTTGATCAGTGTGTTACCTTCAGTCCCACCTTTCATTAAGATTTAACCACACCCTCTTGCTGCTTCCCCATTAGGGGGATTAGTACTCTTGGAGACAAAGGGCCCACTGCACTGAAATGACTCCTGACTCCAGCTCAGCCCATGCAGCCCTTTCTGGGGCCTTGCCAGCTAGAGCACTCCTGCTGAGGTTCTCCCTTGATCCTGGGGAAGGTTGGTTTGATTTTTATCTTTGTAGGCACTCGGCATAGCGAGCTGAAGGAGCCAGAGTGGAGCCACACTTCTGCACGAAAGTTCTCATCAGGATGTTAGAATGGGTGACAGCCACTCAGGGACGTAAGCCTTGGCTTGAACCCACCTTCCCACTCCTGCTGCCATACAACTCTAATGCCCATCTTCTTATGACAGGCAAATTTCCAAAACAAGCGTCAAGGTGCAGTTCATGAATGGGGCAGGAAGTAGGGAAACTCTGGTCTCTTCTTAAAAGAATCCCACCGCATAACTCTCCTTTTCTACTTAGGGAGGCACCTAAGAATTACAAAATTTAAAATCCTAGGTCTTCCACTAAGAAATATGCACTGGTGTTCCTCCCTGGCTCCTGGCCAGAGCTCTTAAAACCCTTCTAATTTTCTCGGTGACAGAAGTGTTTTCAGTTCTAATGAGGCAACACTTGGTGGGCTCCTGGATGCGGACTGGTCACTAGAAAGACAAAGCCATCATTATGAGCTTGGAGCTTTCAGTCCCACCCTCATCCTCTGGAGTAGGGAGAGGAGCTGGAGATTGAGTTAATGATTGATAATGCTTATGTAATGAAGCTTCTATAAAAATCCCTCAAGTACGGGGTTCAGAGAGCTTCCAGGCTGGTGAACACATCCAGCACACCAGAAGGATGGCAGACTCCAACTCCCTGGACCCCTCCAGACCTTGCTCTACATACTTTTTTTTTTTTTTTTTTAAGATAAGAGTCTTGCTGTGTTGCCCAGACTGGAGTGCAGTGGTGCAATTTAGGCTCACTATATCCTTTGCTTCCTGGGTTCAAGCGATCCTCTTGCCTCAGCCTCCCGAGTAACGGGGATTACAGGTGCCCACCATTGTGCCCAGTTAATTTTTGTATTTTTAGTAGAGAGGCAGTTTCATCATGTTAGCCAGGCTGGTCTCGAACTCCTGACCTCAGGGGATCCACCCACGTTGGCTTCCTAAACTGCTGGGATTACAGGCTTGAGCCACTGTGTCCAGCCTCCTACATATATATATATATATATATATATATATATATTTTTTTTTTTTTTTTTTTTTTGAGATGGAGTTTTGCTCTTGTTGCCCAGGCTGGAGTGCAATGGTGCAATCTTGGCAACTTCAGTCTCCCAGGTTTAAGCGATTCTCCTGCCTCAGCCTCCCAAGTAGCTAGGATTACAGGCATCTGCCTCCATGCCCGGCTAATTTTTGTATTTTTAGTAGACGGGGTTTCACCGTGTTGACCAGCCTCGAACTCTTGATCTTGTGATCCACCTGCCTTGGCCTCCCAAAGTGCTGGATTACAGGTGTGAGCCACCACACCCGGCCCTATATACTTCTTTATCTGGCCATTTACCTGTTGTATCCTTTATCGTATGCTTTTTTTTTTTTTTTTTTTTTTTTGAGATGGAGTCTTGCTCTGTCACCCAGGTTGGAGTGCAGTGGCACGATCTTGGCTCACTGCAAGCCCCGCCTCCCGGGTTTCCGCCATTCTCCTGCCTCAGCCTCCCGAGTAGCTGGGACTACAGGTGCCTGCCACCATGCCCAGCTAATTTTTTGTATTTTTAGTAGAAATGGGGTTTCACCATGTTAGCCAGGATGGTTTTGATCTCCTGACCTCATGATCACTATATTGCCCAGGCTGGTCTTGAACTCCTGGGTTCAAGTGATCCTCCTCCTCCTCCCAAAGTGCTAGGATGACTGGTGTGAGCCACTGCATCCAGCCTCATATCCTTTTGAATAATAAACCAGTAAATTCAGTGTTTCCCTGAGTTCTGTGAGCCATCCTAGCAAACTATCAAACCTGAGGGAGGGGGTCCAATTTGTAGCCAGGGTGGACAGAAGTATGAATAACCTGGGGATCCACTGCTTGCAACTGGCATCTGAAGCAGGTCTTGTGGGCCTGAACCCTTAACCTGTAGGGTCTGTGCTAACTCCAGGAAGCTGGAGTCATAACTTAGGACACCTACTCCGTGTCTGGGGTGTTGGAGAATTGGTTGGTATGGGAAAAAGCTCATACATTTGGTCACAGAAGTGTTGGAATTGTTGAGTGTAGTGGAGGAAACTGTTTCCCATACAGCCACTTACTAGTTTTGTGACCATTTACAAACTAGTTATCTCTGGACCTGTTTCTGCATCCACAAAATGGGAATAGCATGTATCTCACTGGATCAATAGAAGGAAATTTATAGGAAGGCATTAAGGGCCTGGCCTATATATAGATGCTCAATAAAGGGCTGATTCCTACACCTGTAATCCTAGCATTTTGGGAGGCTAAGGCAAGATCACTTGAGGTCAGGAGTTCAAGTCCAGCCTGGGCAACAAAGTGATACCCTGTCTCTACAAAAAATAAAAAATTAGCTAGGCATGGTGGTGCATGCCTGTAGTCTCTGTTACTCAAGAGGCTGAAGTGGGAGCATGGCTTGAGCCCAGGAGTTTGAGGCTGCAGTGAGCTATGATTACACCACTGCCATCCAGCTTGGGTGACAAAGCAACACACTATTTAAAAAAAAAAAAAAAAGTCCCAGCGCAGTAGCTCATGCCTGTAATCTCAGCACTTTGGGAGGCTGAGGCGGGCAGATCACTAAAAGTCAGGAGTTCCAGACCAGCATGGTCAACATAGCGAAACCCCATCTCTACAAAAAATTAGCTGGGTGTGGTAGCACATGCCTGTAGTCCCAGGACTCGGGAGGCTGAGACAGGAGAATTGCTTGAACCTAGGAGGCGGAGGTTGCAGTGAGTGGATATCGTGCCACTGCAGTATAGCCTGGGTGACAGAGCGAGACTCCATGTCAAAACAAAATATAACAAAACAAAAAAAGGGCTACTGAGGCCATCAGATCAATTCCTTCCCACGTCAGCATTCTGTGGACCACTGGCCTGCATTGTAAGACTTCAGCTTGGTAATCTTTATCTGTTCACATACATTTGTTTCAACTCCTCTGCAAGAACGGGCAGGGTCCATGTCTTTTTTTTTTTTTGAGACAGTCTCGCTCTGCTGCCCAGGCTGGAGTGCAGTGGTGCTATCTCTGCTGTCTGCAAGCTCTGCCTCCCGGGTTCACACCATTCTCCTGCCTCAGCCTCCCAAGTAGCTGGGACTACAGGCGCCCGCCACCACGGCCGACTAATTTTTTGTATTTTTAGTAGAGATGGGGTTTCACTGTATTAGCCAGGATGGTCTCGATCTCCTGACCTCGTGATTTGCCCACCTCAGCCTCCCAAAGTGCTGGGATTACTGGCGTGAGCCACTGCACCCTGCAGTCCATGTCATTTTTTACGAGTGCCTCTCGCAGATGTAGCAATCCACATGCACTTTTGCTGGCACTTGCCCCTGGGTCATTGAAAACTCATCTGAGATGGTGGTCTCCTGAAATGATTATTATTATTTTTTTGAGACGGAGTCTCACTCTTGTTGCCCAGGCTGGAGTGCGATGGTGCAATCTTGGCTCACTGCAACCTCCACCTCCCAGGTTCAAGTGATTCTCCTGTCTCAGCCTCCCGAGTAGATGGGATTACAGGCACATGCCACCATGCTCGGCTAATTTTTTTTTTTTTGTACTTTTAGTAGAGATGGGGTTTCATCATATTGGTCAGGCTGGTCTTGAACTCCTGAACTCCGGTGATCCACCCGCCTCGGCCTCCCAAAGTGCTGGGATTACAGGTGTGAGCCACCACACCTGGCTTTTTTTTTTTTTTTGAGACACAGTCTCGCTCTGTAGCCCAGGCTAGAGTGCAGTGGTGTGATCTTAGCTCACGGCAACCTCCAGCTCCTGGGTTCAAGTGATTCTCCTGCCTCAGCCTTCCAAGTAGCTGGGATTACAGGCACGCACCACCATGTCTGGCTAATTTTTGTATTTTTAGTAGAAACAGGGCTTCACCATGTTGGCCTGGCTGGTCTTTAACTCCTGTCCTCAGGTGATCCGCCCACCTCAGCCTCCCAGAGTGCTGGGATTACAGGTGTGAGCCGCCGCACCCCGTCTGAAATTATTCTTGATGGGTACAAATATAGCTATTTCTGGAGAAACACAGGCTGGTCTCTTAGAGGAACCCAGACAAGTGGTTGCAGATTATTAAATGAGAAGTGAGACTCAGCAATCCCACACAGGTGGTAGAGCTGTGACGTGGACCACCTTCTCAAGACCTCAGCTTCTCCATCACAAACAATACTGTCAGGCTTCTCACGATTTTTGGCTTCAGGGAAATATAGACACATCAGATAGAATTCTGCATAATTCCCTAGGATTTGATCCTGGCTGGAGTTACTGGCTGTATGACCTTGGGCGAATGATTTATCATCAGGCTTCATTTCCTCCTATAAATGGACAGTGTCGCTTGGTGGATAAGCAATCACATGTGAAAATGCCAACACAGAACCAGCATACAGCAACTCGTCCCACCCTGAACCCCAGTGAATGGCTTGAAAGAAATACCACCAGCAATCAGGTAACAA